TGTTATCTTAGTGATGATAATCTTTCAGTCAAAAGGTCAAAGTGACCAGAGGAGGGAGAAAGACTCTAAAGTGATTAGAAGATAGAAAAGAAGATCGAATCCATCTTGTCCCATTATTCTAAATGATTGAATTCTTGTCAACCGTTCGGTTAGCTATATTCCATGGTCAACCATATCTGATTCATCTTTTTTCTTTTCATCAAGTTGAACTTACCTGATATTACGAAAATGTCATTTCAGTATATTTTTGCGATAGTATCGTTAAGGTTATGTTATTATGACAAATGTAACATTCAAATATGCCAAATAAAGTAATGAATAATGACCGTAGATTGCTTACTCTCTCGTTATCTATTTGGCTTGGCCTTAAACCATTTCATAATTTCAACGATCAGTAATATTGATTGATAAAGCCAAGAAAAGAAGTCAATTCCAACGTTTCTGAACATTATCTTTTAAAAACAAATTGTCAAATGTCAACGGATGATTCAAACGAAGATTTCAGCACAACTGATGTAAGTTATACTTACTGTTATTCTTTGAATTTCATAACATCCTAATTACTCGTTTAATTAAAATTTATTTTCAGAAAACATTAGATTTAAGACAATGGATAAATGTTTTGTCTGGTGCTTCATTACCAAAAATGTCGATGAGGACAATGGTTAAATGTCGTGAAATGGGTAAACGTAAAAGGCCAGTAAGTCATCACATATCTGGTGCTTTTACACTGAGTGAGAAATCTAACCTTATCAATAGGTCAGCTAGTTCATTTAAATTTTCATTAAATTTGTTACAAAAAGAAAAACCATTCATTGTTAATAATTAATAATATAATCTACAGTAAATTAGTTATTGCACTATTTTCTTCAAAATTTGAACAAAGCGTAACAAATTTACCCTCAATTTACGTCATTTACGTATGAATTACGTACGTGGGTGTATTTGTTTGTATAAATCCTTTCTGATAAATTTGCATACATATCGTCAGTTTGTAACTTCAGATTTCTACCCAATGAATGGACAGTAATTATAGCAACTGATTCTCAATTACTCCGTTGCTTATATTTACCAGATGAAGCATTTGTCACATTAGGTCATGGTAAATATTCTCTTCAAATATTGAATTAAGTTTATATTTAGTCATATAAAAATTTATTTTACACAAAACATAATGTTTAATTTAATTATTCTCTCGATTTGCAAATACTTGAAATTAAGTAAATATGAATAGTTTTACTGAAAATTATAGAAAAGTTATTGATTAAAATTCTTATCAGAAATTAATAAATTAATAACTTTATCGCTACAATTTTTCTACAAATTATAAATGACATTATTGTATTCCAAATAATTCAGTGATAAGAAAACAGTAAAAAAAACTTATTGATTAAAACTGTTATCATAAATTAATGAATCAATAAATTTTATCTCTAACATTTTATCCCTCACATTAAACATGATGATCATAAATTAATGAATTCTTATCATAAATTAACATTTTCTCTGAAATCAAAAATTATATTACTGTATTTCCAAATCATTGACGAATAATCGCCAAAAAGTTGAAATTAGACAATTATGATAATTTATACTAAAAATTAAAAATGAAAAATTATTGATTGAAATTTTTATCACAAAAAATCAATGAATTAATAAATCCATCCAAAGATGCTATATATATTATCGATATTATCATATCAAATATTATCATATTTCGATATTATCATATTTGATATTATCATATCAAATATTATATTACAGTATTCCGAATAATTCCGGAATAATTCTTTATTTTATTACATGTTCCTTTTTCTTACCATTTCCATTTATCTTTTAATTAATGAAATTATTTCAGATAATTGGTTGTATTTTTTTGCTCGAGAACAATCAGATTATGAATTAATGAATTGTATTTGTTTACCGGATATAGAAGGAGTTGTTACAGATTTAACTCGTAATACGAAGGGTGATCAATTAGCTTTTACAACATCTAAAGCATATCGTATATTTTCCTATTTATTGATTTTAAAAAAAACAAACAAATGTTTTTTTTTTGTTATTATTTAATCAAATTTTAAACTAATTTTTAATTTCAATCAAGCTTACTATAATAGAATATGTGAATAAAAATAAATTCATAAATATTTTCATAAAAATAATTCATTCATAAAGAAAAATTCATTTCATTCATTCATTCATTCACTCATTTCATTCGTTCATTCATTCATTTCATTTCATTTCATTCATTCATTCATTCGTTTCATTTCATTTTATTCGTTCATTTCATTTCATTTCATTCATTCATTCATTCATTAATTTCATTTCATTCGTTCACTCATTCACTTCATTTTATTCATTCATTCATTTCATTCATTCGTTCATCCATT